AGTGGAGCAGCACGTGCGCTATGAGACCACCGGTCCCGCGCTGTGCACGGTGGTCTTCCTCCTTGTCTATTTCTTTGGTATGGCCAGCTCCATCTGGTGGGTAATCCTGTCGCTCACGTGGTTCCTGGCGGCTGGCATGAAGTGGGGCAACGAGGCCATCGCGGGCTACTCACAGTACTTCCACCTGGCCGCGTGGCTGGTGCCCAGCGTCAAATCCATCGCGGTGTTGGCGCTCAGCTCCGTGGACGGCGACCCGGTGGCGGGCATCTGTTACGTGGGCAACCAGAGCCTAGACAACCTGCGCGGCTTCGTGCTAGCCCCACTGGTCATCTACCTCTTCATTGGCACCATGTTTCTGTTGGCTGGTTTCGTGTCGCTGTTCCGAATCCGCTCTGTCATCAAGCAGCAAGGAGGCCCAACCAAGACGCACAAGCTAGAGAAGCTCATGATCCGCCTGGGCCTCTTCACCGTGCTCTACACGGTGCCTGCCGCCGTCGTTGTCGCCTGCCTTTTCTATGAGCAGCACAACCGTCCTCGCTGGGAGGCCACTCACAACTGCCCATGCCTTCGGGACCTGCAGCCTGACCAAGCGCGCAGGCCGGATTACGCGGTCTTCATGCTCAAGTACTTCATGTGTCTGGTGGTTGGCATCACGTCGGGCGTGTGGGTCTGGTCCGGCAAGACTCTGGAGTCCTGGCGCGCGCTGTGCACCCGCTGCTGCTGGTCCAGCAAGGGCGCAGCAGTAGGCGCGGGAGCCGGAGGCAGCGGCCCGGGGGGCGGCGGTCCCGGGCCCGGTGGGGGTGGGGGACCCGGCGGAGGCGGGGGATCTCTTTACAGCGACGTCAGCACCGGCCTGACGTGGCGATCTGGCACGGCCAGCTCCATGTCTTACCCTAAACAGATGCCATTGTCCCAGGTCTGAACCCTGAGCGGACGCCCAGAAGGGGCGGAGAGGGGTGGGGGATGGGGAGCCCGAGGGCGGCTAAGGGACCCCAGACAGGCCGGGGTTCCCACCCCTTCACCGTGTTGATTGCTATTAGCATGATAATGAACTCTTAATGGTATCCATTAGCCGCTGGGACTTAAATGACTCCCTTAGAACAAAGTACCTGGCATTGAAGCCTCCCAGACCCAGCCCCTCCCCTCCGACGCTCCGGAGCGCCTCCCTGAGGCAACGGTTTCAGTCTGCTAGGAGAGTTGGAACCCTCCTGGGTACCCTGGCTGAGCCTTGAGGTCAAGCTGCAGACTTCACCGGAGGGACGGCTTCACCCTCAACTCCGCCTGCATAAATTCACTCCTCACACCCTGGAGGAGGGACGACTGCTACCTTGTGGGATTGCACGGTTTGGGTATTCTTAATGACCAGGCAGATGCCTTAAATAAACAAGAGATGTCTTAATTATACACCCCAAGTAAATACGGGTTTCTTACATTAGAGGATGTATTTATATAATTATTTGTTAAATTGTAAAAAAAAAAGAAAAGAAAAAGTGTAAAATATGTATATATCCAAAGATATACAACGTGTACATTATTTGTAAAAAGTTTAGAGGCTTCCCCTGTAAGAACAAATATAAGTATTCTATTTTGTCAATAAAATGACTTTTGATAAATGATTTAAATACCACCCTGTCCCCCGAGTCTTCTGAACTGTCCCCCTGATGCTTGCTGAGGACATGTGGGGAAATGGACATTTTCTGGCTTGCCATTCTGTACACTGACTTTAGGCATGGACACAATTACCTGTTAATCTCTAGTTCTTAAACTGTTAGCAAAGTAAATGTCATTGTTGAATTGAAATCAAAATCGCGTTTTTGCACCTTCCCCAAAGATGGTGTTTTTCATGGTCTCTCTTTGCTGACCCGTGAGTGACAGCTCATCTTGGCATGTGTGGCGTGAGTGGATGGACAGTTTGCAAAGGCTGCCATTCCACCCAGCCCGTTTATTTGGCTGGTATAATGTCGTTTAATTTGAAACAGCAGCCCTACTTGATTGAGTATCTCCTGTCTGTGATTTTTGAAAGTCCTGACCTTTTACAGACGTGGCCACACTCTAAACTTTGGAGGTTAGTATTTGAAGCCACGGGTCATCTCTACTCTGTAAGTCACTTCACAATCTGGTGTAGCAGGGCAGGTGCTAGCTAACAGATTAAACGAATGGGTTAACTTCTTAATAGCGCTCCGTGCTTGTGTATTCCAAGTGTGCTGCTTTTCCTGGAGAAAAAAGCTATTGTTCCTCTGTCAAGACTAAGCTAATTTATTTGAACAGAAGGCTGTTGAATCAGCAGAAGAATGTGCTGGCAATTGTTGAACTTTTTACCTGTCTGCCCAGTGGCTCCGCACATCATTCCTTTAAGAGGAGCTAAATGAATAGGGTTAATCTGTAGGGAACTTGGTCTTTTGAGTTTGAAAAACTTTGATCTTTTCTCCTCTCCGAATGTGCTGTGTAGTCTGAAGTTTCTTTCCCTGCTGCCTGGCTCCTCTTGGTGCAGACCAATTGGCCACCGCAGAGCCTTACCGCTCGTCCATTAAAGGGATGTGGGACTTTTACTTTAAAAAGGAGAGGGAGAGAGGAGACGAAGACTTGTAACAGTTAGTGAAGACCAGAGGCGCAAGTGCGCGCAGCCTTTTCAGCAGCTTCCCAGGGCTTTGTTAGCCAGCCCGCAGGCAGCTAGGCCTGGGTTGTGCATTGTAGAAAAGGCTCTGAATGCCCCACAGGTGGTCTGTGCACATAATCCCCCAATTTAAAGCGGTTTCCTTTGCTGGACAATTGCATTACAAAACTCCCTTCTTTTTCACTCCTAATTGAACCAATGAACTATTATAAACTACAAGTTTTTCTTTAAAAAAAAAATCCTCAGTAAATTCTATTGACTAAATGTTGGTAAATTTTCTGAACTGGACCTTTCAAACCACTTGCAGGAAATGCTTCTTCAGCAGATATTTTTCAGATAATTTTCTTCTTTAGGCTTTTTTAATTTCTGGAAGATTAGCAATAATTTAAAAGTAATTGGTAAGGTTATATGTTCATATTGAAAAGACAGCCCCAGGTCCCCTATTAACCTGTCAATCAAGATAAACTGGCAGCTACCCTGCTAATAACTGGAGTCCAGCATTGTGGATGGGGAGGGGCCCTGGGTGCCCTTCTTAGCAGTTTGGTTTTCCTTTAGTAACTAAAATTCTGAATTCATAAGAAGATGACTACTTATTTTATCGACCTTCATTGAAGAAGTATTGGTGTTTTATTTTTTAATTTTCTATTCCCTTCCAAAGTCACTATTTGTGTTAACTGGATTTTTTAAAATTAGGATGTAATGTGAATACAAGCTTCAGCTGTCATGCCCATCTTAATTTAAAACATTGGGCACCTTGCCAGCAGTTTTATTCATTGAATAATTGCTGTTTTGTGGCCTAGGTACCTAAATGCACTCCCATCTAACTTACACACTGACTTGAGTGCTCTGTGTGTGTGTGTGTGTGTGTGTGTGTGTGTGTGTGTGTGTAAACTGGCCATGAACTCTGCAAATTCAGTAATAAGGTCAAAGTTGAGGGCAGGGCTTTATCATCTGTAGAAAAGAAAAGAGCTAAGAGTTGTTGGTTGACTTGGTTTTTCTGACATAATGGTGTTCTTGGTGATGACTTCCAGCTATGACTTTGGGGAGCTGTCATACTTTGAAGCTCTTAGCACACTCGCTTTCCATGTACACTCATAAAATGCCATATGTGATAACTTTTACAAGATGGCCATAAGTGTACACAACTTAACAAACTTATGAATCAAGAAAAAGCACTGTTTCCCCTCGGGGAACGGTCAGTGGAAAAGGCCCGCTGCTGCGATCAGCAGACTGACTGGGTTCAGGGACTGGCACCGAACCACTGGGCTTTGAAAGCCGAGACATGAATCAAAAGTTGTCAACACCCAAATGATACCCAAAGTTGATTGAGAGGGCAGGAAAAGTAAAGGACCTTTCCAGGCCCATGTGCATTAGACAAAGGACAGGGAAATAGCCCAGAAACCACTGTAAGCTATATAGGCCTGCCCTTAACTACTACATTTAAAAAGTGTTAAGACTTATCAAATCTCTGAGGGTAGGCAATGTGGTTGTTGTGTGCCCAGAAGAGCAAAGTAAATAAAATCTACTGTGATTAACGGCACCAGGAAGCCAAAGCTTGTTGAAGTCACTTGCGGGAGGAATCTTGCTGAATGCTTTTTGGTTTTGCTCTGCAGTAAAGGCAACCTGGAAGTGCTGTAAACAGAAGGTGCGGAAGTTAATAGAAAAACAGAGCCCGCAGCCTCATTTCTAACCGTCCTTGCTGACAGAGCTGTGGGCACCTGCAACACTTCAACATTTGAGGAGAGGAAATCAGGTTGTCTAACTAAGAGGAAATCATACAGAGCCAATTGCAGAACAGGATCAATTTGTGAGAGTCCTGCAAACATTTTGGGGAGGCTCAAGACAAGGGCCAGGAGCCCGTTATTGATTTAAAAGGTTGATGCTATACTGCCATCTTGTGGTACAACAAGGCTTCAGAAACTACAGGCGAGAGCAGTCTGATTTCTTAATTGAAAAGCCATGATGGAGCTGGGGGAAGTGCTAAGCTGTTCCAGGGCTTGCATAGCATGCACAGAGCCCTGGGTTTGACCCCCAGCACTGCATACTATGAATATAGTGGCACATGTCTGTGACCCCATCAGGAGTTCAAAATCATCATCAGCTACTAATAAAGTTTGAAACCAACCTTGGACTAAAGACTCTGAAAAAATAAAATCTTGAGAGTGTTGGTTCTGTTTCTCAGTGGACCTGCACACATTTGTATTCTGAATTCTATAGCCATCTTCTTAAGAAAAACACCCCAGACCTGTGTCAGGGTAAGGCGCCACAAGAGATCCCTGCCACACAGTCACAGTTTTATGAGCCTCAACTGAATTAAATTCTCCTGTGTTGACATCTCAAGAATTAAACTCTAAAAACTACTATTTATTTAACTATTTATTTAAGGAATGGCAATGTATGTAATGTCAGATACATAATGCCCCACTTCCATGGCAAAAGGATACCGTTTTCTTGCTTTGTGACGTGTTTTACAATTTCCTTGGAGAGAAGCAGATCTTCTGGCCCATGGGATGTCCTTCAGAGTCACACAAGGATGCATTCAGTTGTCATCCACCAGGTGTTAGGGAACACACCAAGGAGAGGACTGGAAAAGGAGGCTAGCCGTGGGGTGGGATGGGGTGGGGTGAGCAACTGTTCTGGTTTGCTCTGGCCGCCCAGGAAGGAGGACATACGGGTGACCAGGCCTGTGTGATCCACACACGATGATTTCTTTCCCGATTTTGGGGCCTAACTGATGGCAGCAGAAGGGGGACGACCCATCATCATGGGTCCACAGAACTCAGTGTCTAGGCCTGATTACACAGAAGCTGCAGGGGAAGCAGCCACTCACACATGTGTCAGTGCATATAAAGTCCTGGGGAGATCTCAGTTATGTTTCTGTTACCCTGACAGAAACATCAGGGCCAAGGCAACTCATAAAAGAAAGCATTTGATTGGTGACTCATGGTTCCAGATGATTAGAATCCATGACCATCATGGTAGGGAGTACGGCAGCAGGCAGGCAAGGCACTAGAGCAGAAGCTGAGAGTTCATATCTGATCTGCAGCCACAAGGCAGAAAGAGAGAGAGAAAGAGAGAGAGAGAGAGAGAGAGAGAGAGAGAGAGAGAGAGAGAGAGAGAGAACTGAGAACAGTGTGGGCATTGGAAACCTCAGAACTCACCCCCAATGACTTCTCCAACAGGGCCACACCTTCTAATCTTTCCCAAATAGTTCCATCACTTAAGCATGGGAGCCGTTCTTGTTCAAATTACCACCGGTCTGACATAGTCCTTGCTGTAGGTTAACAAAAAGTAATTGCTGCACTTGTGAAAAATCACTCTATCTCGAGTAAGCTGGGCCTAGACTGTTTGCCCTTCCCATTTCTGTACCTGTTCCCACTGCCCATTCTTCTATCTAAAGTCCACATCTGTGGGCCACCATAACTAAAGAGTCAGGACTCATGGTACCAGCGTATCTCAGAGTCACACACTTTCCACCTGGTCTCTGACAGGCTTGACCCTTGGGTCTTTGGCTGACGGAGGGTACTCTCTGAGTCCTCACAAATCATGTTCACAGCCATCCTGTCATTCCCGATGGAGACTTCACTGGGAAGAAAGGCCAGATACAGAAAAGACTGCCCTAGCCAGCAGAGTCAGGCGCCATGCAGAGAGTGCCTCAGTGGGCCACGGGAGGAAGGCAATAGAGGGTTGGGAGGTGAGGCGGAAGGGCTCTGAAATGCCTGGGAGCCAGTGTGCAGGAAACAGCTGGAGCCGGCGACCACGCAGCAGCACAGGCTATCACCGTGGAAGTGTGCTGAGAGGATAGTGGTCCCTGGGAAGGACGGACACTAAACCAGAGAAAGATGCAGAGCCAGAGAGCAGAGATAAAGAGCCAAGGCCCAGCACAGCTGGGATGAACATGAACTGAAGAGCTAACTGTGCATGACTTTGCACGCTCTGGGACGACCATTGTTTTTATTACTTTATTGAATCCTCCAGAGAATTCTACACTAAGTTAGAAAGCCTGTATCTGCTGCTTTGCTCCCATAAAACCTGTTCCTAATTACACCATGCCCCAGCAGTAGTTCCTATTTCTGTTCACTTGTCAGAAGCCCTTGGAGTAATTTTTTTAACTCCTGAAGCCAGAGCCCATGGTGGTGACACATGCCTATAGTCTCCACAGTCGGGAAATTGAATCAGAGCCTAGGAGGCTCAGAAGACTGAAAACACGGCTGGGGAACTAGCTCAGTTTGTAGACTGTGTGTCTCGCACACACAAAGGTCTGGATTTGATGGCAGCATGTGTCTATAACCCCAGCACTCAGGAGGGAAAGTCAGCGATCATAAGGTAAAGGAATCCTTTCTCAAAACAAACAGAACAAAAAAATACCTTACTGCTGTCCAAGCTGTATCCTAGACCAATAAATTTAGAGATTGATTTTAGGGACTCCATCTGAGAATTAAACATTTTTTTTAAAACTACTGCTGGCAACTCTGATGAAAAATCAATAGATATGATTGAATAAAATAAATATTCATAGTAGAGATTATCAGCTGGTGTGGTGGTACAAGCCCAGCAAC